GATGATGACGATGATGACGATGATGACGATGATGACGATGATGACAATGCTGATGATAATGATGATACTGTGGTTCAGTTTGAATAAGAAAAAAGAATTAAGAAGCAAGGGTGAATCAAGTTAAATAGCATCGTTGTTGGTAGGATTCATTAATCACTGTTAAATGGTTTTAAGCAACCCTAGTTTCTATCCTTTTGTGCACAAATGCTTGAAGGGAGAGGCATTGCGCCTCAATCCTCTGCTCTCAGAGGCCGGCTCACGTCTTGGCGGCGGTGGTGATGTTAACGGTGGTGTCGATTCGTTCGCGTTGAGTGGACGACGCCAGGTTGAGGCGAACCGAGAAAAAGAGGGCGATGTCGAAGAAGACTTGGATGTGGACTCGGGGCGCGAAGGTGAGGCTGATGTTTACGGCGACGGCGACGGCGATGATGACGATGACGATAACGAGGGCGAGGGCGAAGAAAGTAAGCGACGTTACACTTTGGTGCTGCGCGGCCTCCTGCCAGGTACCACCTACCTTGTTTTGGTGCGCGCGGTTTCACCGGCCGGGTCTGGCGACCGAGCGTTGGGCAGGCCAGTGAAAACATGGCCCTCTCGTGAGTCGTATTTTGGTCTACATTTTATTTTTTATATTTCTCAATTTTCCCCTCTCAGTCGTCATTCTATCTCATCTTCAGATGGGGTTTTTTGTGCCTTTACTGGCACATCACGTCTTGCCTTCGTCCAATTTGCCTCAAATAAGCTCAAAGTGTAGGTTACTCAACTCTGGCTGTCATAACGAACATGATTTAAAGTAAGGTAAAGACTCATAGTAGAGTTGTTCTGGCATCTAAGCCACCTAAAGTGACTAAGTTCCAATAGCTTCCAGATATACTCCTTTCACAAATAAGTAATTTCATCGACGATGATGGCTATTACATGTTTACCTCAGAATTTCAGGAGGCTTGACTCCCCGTGACTGCCACATTTGTCCTATTGTCCAATTGCACCTATGGCTGTGTATCGGAGTGAGTAAATGCCCCAACTTTATGTGCAAGCCCCTATTTTGAATGCCGTTTGGAGTACTGGTGAGACGATGCGGTAAGTTGGCAACCGTCACCTCCTTTTGGATGGCAAGGCAACATTGATTTTATGACATGTATTCACCCTATTTTGTTTGCGGTGACAATGGGACTGGTAGTTGAATTTTCCCACAATGATATGAATAGAGCTGACGCTTCCATTGAATTTCGTGCAGCCTTGCTAAAACAAAAGGTGTTCTCATCCAGAGTGGACTGTATTTTCAACCCTGCCTAGGTCTTTTCAGCACCCCCAGCGGGAGTCGAACCATGACAATGCAACGTGTAATCTCGACACGCTAACCACTCAGCCGCATTGCGACGAGTGCCCTTTGAGTGACAGGTGGTATGTGATTTCGAGAAAGGCGAGGCATTTTCCCATATCACATTCTTTGGTGGAATTGTCGATGAAACAATTGTCTGCATTACTCATTTTTTTGTTTATCAGACCTGCATCACCTTAAACGAACTAGTATGAATACATTTCAGATAACCGATTAACTAATTCTTGAAAATCTACTTATAAACTGAAAATGAGGCTAAGGTAAGCTTAATTGTATCATGTAGCTTATTCACATGACATTGGTAAAAATCGCATTGATGGTCCTTAAATCAACTTAAACAAGCTAGGCTGACTAAATTATTCTAATTGCTTGACCTTGTTTTCGAAACTTGGTCATATTGGCAGGAAGACCTTGAGGAACACAG